AATTTACACATGTTTGATGAGACTCTGGGCCTGAAGAGATGTAAAGTTGAATCATGTCATAGCGCCACCTACTGGTAACAGTAGGTGGCGCAAATTTTCTAGTATCCAGAAAAAAACGAAGGTGGCATTTCGAGAGCCTTTAATTTGGAGAATGGTACATCAGAATATCCTGGTTATCACCAAGTGACACCTTGGGGATGTGTACTCTATGGCTCAAGTGGAAATACTGTGTAACTAAGGATTTTTTCCTTTTAAATGTAATCTGAAAATGACTAGATGTAGTCTTGTGATTGATATTTTGGCTCATTTATGGTATTTTGAGAGGCTTCAATTTTAGAATAGTAGATCAGAATGTCCCGCTTATCCGTGGGCGACACCTTGGGGATGTGTACTATCAGTCTGAAGTGAAATGATCATGTAAGTATTGTTGGATGGGTCCTCGCAACTCCGCACGTCGGGGCACCGGCCGGACAGGTAGAAATGCAGCCAACAACCCCTGCGGTCGTCGGACAAAGCGTCCAAGAGTCAGTTGTGGTTAACCTTGTGGAGCGACGCGAAATGTTAAAGATCACCAAACCTTTTCTTAAATCTCATTCACCAGCCTTACAATCAATTTCAGATGGTATTTTAAAAGGAAACGACCCATAGCTACATGATAATTCCACTTCAGGTTCATAGTACACATCCCCAAGGTGTCACCCAGGGATAAGCAGGACATTCTGATGTACTATTCCAAAATGAAAGCCTCTAAAAAATACCATACATGAGCCAATTTCCTTCATATTCTCCATCACGAGACTACTTTTGGTCAAATTCAGGTCAGAGATAAAAGGAAACTATCAATAGTTATATGATCATTTCACTTCAGACTGGTAGTACACATCCCCAAGGTGTCACCCAGGGATTAGCAAGACATTCTGATGTACTATTCCAAAATTAAAGCCTCTCAAAATGCAATACATGAGCCAAAATATCAATCACAAGACTACATCTGTTCATTTTCAGATTACATTTAAAAGGAAAAAATCAATAGTTAAACAGTGTTTCCACTTCAGGCATAGAGAACTCGGTGATAACCAGGATATTCTGATGTACCATTCTCAAAATTAAAGCCTCTCGAAATGCCACCTTCGTTTTTTACTGGATACTAGAAAATTTGACTTCCTGATACCAATAGGTGGCGCTATGACATGATTCAACTTTGCATCTCTTCAGGCCCAGAGTCTTATCAAACATGTGTAAATTGGAAGGAATCCGATGTTGCCCAGTAGAGTTACAACGGTTTAGTTGTTCTTGGCGAAGCATCAACTTTGCCGATGCACCATCTCGCCACCAATTATTGGATTCTAATAATATTCACAGTGAAGCCTTATTAAGGTCTTGATTCTCTGTTAAGAAATTTGAGAGGGATCAGATTGATCTTTGAGGAGTATAACCTGTGAGGAGCAGGGTTTAAAATAAAAAGACATTCAACTTCCTTTTGTCACTAGGTGGCGCTATGACTAAGGTTAAAAATGATCACATGGATGTCTACAGGGTGGAAAGTTAATGCTATATGAGAAATATTGAGCAGATTAGATAAAGTATGTTTTTTTAAAAACGACTTCAATTTTCATGCTGAATGGTGGTTTTTCAAAAGTGCTCCCTACACCAGTGTTTTTCAACCTTTTTTCCGAGAGGTGCACAAAGTTGTGGAGGAAAATAGGGGACAAATGTGTCCGCGATGATAAGCAGCAGTGGCGATGCACGGGTCAATAAAGTCTATGATAAATAAACAAATAAATAAATAGACGTGACTCTCTAGGTCGTCTTCAACAAAACACGTCACCATGCTTGTTGTTCTGGCGGTGAATTGCTCTGCAACACACGCAGAAGCATGAAGTGAAACATGTGCCGACCTTAAATCTCACTTTTTTAAATTGTCGCCTCAGCAAATCTGCCTATTAATTACGCTGCGTACCGCCACCCACACGCAGAGGGGAGTATTGAGCCTTCATACCACCAACAGCGCGACGACACACACACAAACACACAAGTTGGCTCTTTTGTTTCCACTAATGAAGTGACAGTATGTAAAAAACACTGCCCTACACACATAGTTTGGAATTTCTTCCGGCAAAATACAATTCTTAGAGCCACGGTCCTCTAGATCACACTGCGCGAATTTGAAAAGAATCGGGTTTAATCCCTGGGAGGAGTTCGGTCTTTTACAACTCGAAGAAATGAAAATAGGACAAAAATAGGACAAAAAGGCAGATTTTCAACGATTAATAGCAGCGCCCCCTATTCTTCAAATATTCTAAAAAAATTAGGGTGTGTTCAGGGGTTCAATGTTCACATGTGATGCAAGTTTGGTGAGGGCAGGCCAAATCTTTTGAAAGTTATGACTCTTGCAAGATTAAGCCACACCCCTTGCAAAGTTCATTAGCCCATATCTTCTCAAAACAAGAAGATATCGACACCATTTCTATAGAGGGCATACACCCAATAAGTATCCACAGAAAATGTTGTGACAATCGGACATAGCGTTTAGGAGACATGGCCAAAAACGTGTTTTGCACAATTCAAAATGGCGGAAAATCTAGTTAAGCGCATTTGCATACCATGATTGACTTGTCCAAGAGCACATGTGTGCCAATTTTCAAGTCAATCGGAAATCGGGGGGAAAAACTGGCCTAGTGTGGTACTTTTCAAATTTCTAGGGGGCGCTATGGAGACATGAATTCTGAAAAAAACCCATCTGGAGACACCATAATAGTTGTACTGGAATACATTCCACATATTGTTTTTTCTTGCCTGTATCAGTGGCTACCTTTTACATAGTTTAAAGGGTTGAAATCTATGCAATTTAAGAGTCAAATGCCTAATTTTAGGTGTTTTTGGTTCAATTGTATTTTATTTTTATCCAACTTTCATCTCTACAATACTACTATAGTCAATTGCTTTGTAATTAATAATTTCCTTACATTTTAATTTACTCAACAGATTAATTGAGTAAATTTGAGGTCAAAGCAAATCACATTTTATATTTCTTGTTTTCAAAGGATTACTTTATTTCAAATCATTGTGTGTCCTGTGTCCTGTGTGTGCAATGTGCACGTCATGTTTTTGTGAGAAACCTTCACCATACAAGTATCTAGTATCTAAAAAGTAGAGTCAAACTTTTCAGTTTGAACATTAAATGCACAATGATGACAAATGCACTTAAGTAACTTAACCGGCGGTATATATTATGTCCCTACAAAGAGATCTGCTGTAAATAAAGAGGAATGTAAATCTATGGTGATTATATTTCTATGAATTAGGTTTTTACTATTTAAATTCTCTACTGTAATAAATTCTTGTTTTACTGTACTTTTTGTCACGTTCAAATGTGGAGGGAACTAACAAGTGTCAGCACATTAAATGATGCAAACGTTTAGGTCAACGGAGATGACATAAATACTAATTTTACAGCGTTTGGAAGGTACTTTTGAGTAGGTTTATTTTACTGGACGACGTTGCATCTCACGCGCACTAGTGAGATGCTCTTACGTTCACTAGTGAGATACGGACGAGTGTTTCATTAGTACGCGTAAGAGTGTCTCAGTTTCTTTAGTACGCGTACGAGTGTCTCAGTAGTTACGTCCTAAACGGGCCCTCATATTATCTGCTTAAGTTATATATCATGCGGGTCGATACATTAGTCCCTCTGTTGTTTCAGCGTTGCCTCTCTGAATATTGCCATGTTTCCATCATCCGAATGGCAGGTCAGATGATCTGAAGGCACCTTCTGTTAGGTCGAAGTTAGAAACCACGAACCCTGCTGATTACACCAAAGAACAGTCACAGCACAAGAAACAAAAAACACTGAGTCGACTTGTAAGTTTTACTTGCTGCAATACAGCACAATAAGCAGTATTCTCTAACACCTTCTGATAATATTGTAACAGACTGACACGTTTTGTGAGCGAGGTTACACATTTGTCCTTAATGGAATTTTTCCCCTTACATTACTTTTTTACTTTATAAGTAGTTTTGAAACCAGTACTTTTATACTTTTACTCAAGTAGATACTTCATCTTCTACAAGTATTTTTAAACCCCAGTATCTATACTTCTACTTGAGTAATGAATGTGAATACTTTTGACACCTCTGTTCCTATGATTCAATCACAAGCCAACGCATTTCTTTTTTCGACAGATGGACCTCAGACATCTACACTGGTGTAACAGATATGTTTAGGGCATGGAAGAAGTCGACTCAGATACTAATATTTTCAACATTTATTTGCGCCTGCAGAAGACAATAAAACACAAGACATTGCCTTCTGGTCTCTGCAACTCAGCTCCCTACACACAGGGTCTATAAAGAGGCACGTATACGTCAGGACGACCGGATGTAGCGAATACAAACGGGGGAAATAAAAACATTACCAAACGTATACCTTTAACGTCTAAAATAATGACGCACCACAGCTGAAAACTGTTGTTATGTTACCCGCAGTAATGGTTGCTGATGTGAACAGTTATATTTAAGAACATAGCAAAATAGCGCGACATAATTTTTCCCTCAACTTACCTTCAACAGAGCAACAACGACGGAAGCCTAGGAGGCGCAGAAGAGATGAATCGCAATTTCTGCAAATTTAACTCAAATAACTAAAATAAAATTACACACACACACACACACACACACACACACACACACACACACACACACTCAACAAGATTGTTGAATACTAACCAAAAATAAGATACAATACATTGAAAATGACAGTGTATTTATTTCTCCGTTGCATTGAGACAGACTGAGCCAGGCCACCAAACTGCGCAGGTGCGTAAATAGTTTTTTGATGGAAGAAGGTCGCGAACTCTGACCCTCCTACCAACTGTAAGACAATTAAAATATTAATATATTGAGGACTACACATTATTTGACTCAACAGGTTCTTGCCAGGTAAGATCTATTTACTAACGTGGACGTATGAGAGGTTCAAGAACGAGACACGAATCGCCGGTAACACAGGAAGAGAGGGAGTGTTCAGTAACGTTAGGTCTACTGCAGGGAAGCCTCCGTTACCAGTTAGCAAACAGCTAGCATAGCTCGTTAGCGCTGTCGTCCGGAGCTCAGCGTTTACAATTTGAAATCAGGCAAGTATGCGATCCTATTAGTGCCCGTGTGCGACTGCATCACGGGCAATGTAACGTTACATACAATCGACGTATGTTGACTTGTAGCTATTCGACAACACTAATATTATTGAATGACATGCTAGTTAGCCAACCATCTTAGCCGCGTCGGCTAACCGTGTTGCCGTTAGCTGAAGTTAGCTGGATTGCTAGCTATGCTAAATAGGCTCATCCAACTCAACAGCTACATATAATTAACTGCGATTGTGAGAACGGCACGTCGTTATATTATTCAGTATTTGTTTGGTTGAATTCTCGATATAGCTAGAAGTCCACTGCAGGAATAAAAGCAAAATTAGCCCATTGGCGGACAGTCAGCGTGGTTACATGGATTCGAATAACTGGCTTAGTCGGACTGAAATCGAATGATCCGTTTCATGTAAACACCTTTGTCCGACTATGTGCGGTCTGACTACGATCCGACTAACACCCCTGGATAATTCGATCCGATCCAGTTGATAGTTAGACCATTGCGGCATGTAACGGTGAATCGGATAAGGAACTGGACTTTGCGTCTTCTCTCCGTTAACTAATCAGCCAATAGCGCCATTCGCATTCGCTGTACTCCTATTAACATCATGCTAAAACCGTAGAGGGGTGTAGCTTCACCTTGCTCTCCGTTCGCCATCTTTCTTGTAATGTTGATGTTGTTGTTGTTGTTGTTGTTGTTGGTTGTTGTTGGTAGTGGTGAAGCGGTCAAGCGGAAATGGCTGTAACTAGTTGTAATGAAAACAGCGCCACCTATCGTATTGGATATGACATGCTTTCGGCCAATGATTCGATTTATTCATTGCCATGTATATTGGCATAATAGCACTTGCCCCGAAAGATAGCATAGTCCGACTAAGCAAAGATTCGAATTATACCATCATGTAAACACACTGTATAAGGACGCACGGACGGCCTCTGATTCATGGAGGGAGAGCTCCGCAAACGTTTGTTTGCCAGTCGAGAGGAACAAAGTTGTGGAGGAAAATACGGGACAAATGTGTCCTTGATGAAAAGCATCAGTGGCGATGCACGGGACAGTAAAGTCTATGAAAAATACATAAACAAACCAACGACTTCCACACACAAAGATGAGTCTCTAGGTCGTCTTCAACAAAACACGTTACTCCATCTGTTGTTCCGGCGGTGAATTGCTCTGCAACACACGCAAGACTTTTAGAACCATGAAAGAGTGCGTCAACACAGCAGTGCGTAACGACGTTAGCTAGTTGGGTGTCATCTATGGCGGCAAATCACTGTCAAAATTTGAGAGCGCAAATCAGGTTGATGCGCGCACGTAAATTAAACATCCGCAAGCAAAAGTCCGTCTCGCGCGAGATAATCGCTCGCGACACGTGAACTTCCTCGCTCGCGAGGTTAGTCTCTGCTCGCGCTCGAAGGTGTTTTCTACGCGCTCGCTGTTGTTCTTTTTGACAGTAAGGGGGCGGAGCCAGTCACCATGGTATCTACATCTGATTGGTTACGAAGCCCTTCTTTGGATTGGCTGGAGTGATGCATCCACACAACTACAGAAGCCCATTTCCGCACTAATGTAAGGGGATAGAAAGCCGGAATTATGAGATAAAACGTTGTCAAAAAACAAACGCCCCGCTTCGGTAATCGTAGTGGACCGTAGATGACAACCAGCTACAACCATAATTTACCATAGGGTTGGTGGTTCCCGGCTGCCCCATGTCCCAATGTTGAAGTGTCCCTGAGCAAGACACCTAACCCCTAATTGCTCCCCAGGCAAAAATGTAAAATGCCATGGGTTAAAATGTAATGTAAGTCGCTTTGGATAAAAGCGTCAGCTAAATGACCTGTAATGTAATGTAAAAATACATTCAAATTAACAATAAAGTTTCACGGTAAACAACCATAGCTCAACTAACTAGTCCAATGGATACACACCCATGGACATATGACATGATTTTGGGGATGCTAGGATCCATAACGGAGTTATTTATTCATATTTGCCATAAATATGGAATATTATCAATAATAATTTCTCAAAAGCGAGATTTCAACAGATTTTCAACAAAATAACAAGTGTAGTACAACAAGTACAATGCCATGGACCTATGACATAATTTTGGGGATGCTACCATTCATAATAGTGAAGTTATTGAATATTTCTGTAATGTGTTTTTCCGCATTGCACTTTGCAGACGGTCCCTGCGCACTTGTCTCACGGGCAGCACACTCATTAAGATCAATGTGATTTGTACAGCACCTGCACTGGTCCGTATTGGTAAAAATATGGATAATTATGGTTGTCAACATCACTACGGTTACAGATAGGTGTCGTCTGTGTTTCAACAACGTTTCGCTGACGAGCTATTGAACCGTGAAGTCTGAATCTGTGAATATCTTGCTAACTTTACAGAACTGTGTGTTGTTTCTATCTTGAATATGGGGCTCGACCCTACATACTAACCTGTTTCTGTAAATAACTATTAATAGTACAGGAATTGTGTACAAGTCTGGCAACTGAGAAGTATTAGACACAGGAGTGGATGGCAGTAAGATCATTAGAGAAAACTCTTGCTTTATTACAAGACATAGTAAAACACATCTTCTTTTTACAGGTGTGGGGCGCTGATGTGAAGACCAGTACAAGAAGGTGCACATGATATCAGAATGGATGGACAGACTCAGAGGATTCAACTTGTGTCAGCTGACAGCAACATGGCATTAGGACACAGAATCCAGGTAATGTGATATCCTGTTCAACACTATAACATGCTCTTCTTTTTTAAATTATGTGTTAATATAGTCAATTTGCACATCTTGACATAATAATTTCTCCCACTGTTTTTGTATTTTATTGTATTCCTCTGTCATAGCGTAGCCAAACTTCTCCTGCACTCTTCTGCATACAGTCAGCACTCATGTTTTACTCCTTTATTTTAATTTCTACTAGATTGTAACTGACCCGCAGACTGGCCAAAACATCCAGATTGTCACCGCACTTGAAACATCTTCCCCAGGAAAGCAGCAGTACATCCTAGCAAATACTGACTATTCCCCAGGTGGGAAGGTAATCTTAGCAAAGCAAGAAGGCTCCCCCAACAAGGTCATCCTTTCCAGTCCAGACGGCTGTGGGATTAACCAGCTGTTGTTTACGTCGCATGACCTGGCTGGGCAGCAGATTCAGGTATTACCGGAGGATATTGGTGGCCTCTTTCAGTCGGTTGGGATAAACAAATAATTGAGGGTCTTATGACTGAAACACAAACTTGTTTAGTGTCTTAACCTATTCCAGTTTTTGTTGTATCAAATTATTCTGTTGTCTCGGGTTGTTTGTCAGTTTGTGACTGACGGTTCAGACCAGGCCATTGTGAAGCCGGTTGTGGAGTACTGCGTTGTCTGTGGGGACAAGGCCTCAGGTATCAATTAAGTTGAATTTACTTTTGACGTCATTCTTTTTATGCAACAGATATGAGATGAGCAAGCATTCTCTAATCGGATCCTGTTTTCTCTCTCAGGGCGTCATTACGGAGCTGTCAGCTGTGAGGGTTGTAAGGGCTTCTTCAAACGCAGTATTAGAAAGAACCTAGTGTACACGTGCCGAAGCTCCAGAGAGTGTGCCATCAACAAGCTCCACCGAAACCGCTGCCAGTACTGTCGACTGCAGCGCTGCATATCTCTTGGCATGAAACAGGATTGTAAGAGAGTGTGATGTATTTATTAACAGTCAATGTACCATCTAGGACTCGCTAACATTGGGTCTTATGGCTTGTTTTTACTCATCTAGCTGTGCAGTGTGAGAGGAAGCCTGTTGAAGTGACCACAAGGGATAAATCTGTCAACTGTGCGGCCTCCACTGAGAAAATCTACATCCGCAAAAACCTGTGTAGTCCTCTGGCTGCCACAACCACTTTCATGACTGACAAAGAAACTGCCAGGTACACCCACTTGCATCAATTCACTAGTTTATTTGATGCACCTATACAGTCTTAATACAACACAATAAATAGCCATGGTGTAAAAGGATATTTGTTTAATATATATCTTAGAATATAATAGGTCTACAGAGTTCTATTGGGTTGCAACATATTTAGGGTCCTCGCAACGACTAGTCGTAGAGGAACCTATTGTATTTCGAAGAATTATTATTAGGGTCCTCGAAACAACTAGTCGTAGAGGAACCTATTGTATTTCGAAGAATCATTATTATTATTATATAATATATAATTATTTTTATTATATTATTACTTCAATGCGCACGTGGGCGACGATGGAGATAACTGGAGAGGCGTGATTGGGATGAATGGCCTCCCTGATCTGAACCCGAGCGGGTGTTTGTTACTGGACTTCTGTGCAAGTCACGGATTGTCCATAACAAACACCATGTTCGAACATAAGGATGTTCATAAGTGTACGTGGTACCAGAGCACCCTAGGCCAAAGATCAATGATCGATTTTGTAATCGTATCGTCTGATCTGAGGCTGCATGTTCTGGACACTCGGGTTAAGAGAGGGGCAGAGCTGTCAACTGATCACCATCTGGTTGTGAGCTGGGCCAGAGGATGGGGGAAGACTCGGGACAGACCCGGTAAACCCAAGCATGTAGTGAGGGTGAACTGGGAACGTCTGGAGGAGGCCCCGGTCCAAAAGATTTTCAACTCACACCTCCGGCGGAGCTTCTCTCACATTCCTGTGGAGGTAGTGGACATTGAACCAGTGGCTCACAAACAGTGGTGTATGTTCAAAACCTCCATTGCTGAAGCCACGGCAGTGAGTTGTGGCCTCAAGGTCTTAGGTGCATCAAGGGGCGGTAACCCTCGAACCCTGTGGTGGACACCGGTGGTCAGGGAAGCCGCCCGACTGAAGAAGGAGGCCTTCTGGGTTATGATATCCGGTGGGACTCCGGAGGCAGTTGCAGTGTACCGACAGGCTCGAAGGGCAGCAGCCTCTGCCGTGATGGAGGCAAAGCAGCGAGTATGGGAGGAGTTCGGGGTAACTATGGAGAATGACTTTCGGTCGGCACCAAAGTGCTTCTGGAAGACCATCTGGCACCTCAGGAGGGGGAAACGGGAAACCATCCAAGCTGTGTACAGTAAGGATGGGACCCTGTTGACCGCGACTGAGGAGGTTATTGGGCGGTGGAAGGAACACTTTGAGGAACTCCTGAATCCAACTACTACGCCCTCTTTGGTAGAGGCGGAGCTGGAAGTGGAGGAGGGATCATCATCAATTGGCCTGGTGGAGGTCACTGAGGTAGTCAAACAACTCCGCAGTGGCAAAGCCCCGGGGATTGATGAGATCCGTCCAGAGATGCTAAAAGCAATGGGTGTTGGGGGGGTTGTCTTGGATGACACGCCTCATTGCGTGGAAGTCTGGGACAGTGCCAAAAGAGTGGCAGACCGGGGTGGTGGTACCCCTCTTCAAAACGGGGGACCAGAGAATGTGTGCCAATTAAAGGGGTATCACACTACTCAGCCTCCCGGGTAAAGTCTACTCTAAGGTGCTGGAACGGAGGGTTCGGCCGATAGTCGAACCAAGGATTGAAGAGGAACAATGCGGTTTTCGTCCTGGTCGTGGAACAACGGACCAGCTCTTCACTCTTTCCAGGATCATATGGGGGCTTGGGAGTATGCTCATCCAGTCTACATGTAATTTGTGGACTTGGAGAAGGCGTATGACCGGGTCCCCCGAGAGAAACTGTGGGAGGTGCTGCGGGAGTACGGGGTGAGGGGGTCCTTGCTTGGGGCCATCCAATCCTTGTACGCCCAAAGCGAGAGCTGTGTTTGGGTGCTCGGAAGTAAGTCAAAGGCGTTTCCGGCAGCGGTTGGCCTTCGCCAGGGCTGCGCCTTGTCACCAATGTTGTTTGTGGTTTTCATGGACAGGATATCGAGGCATAGTCGGGGGGAGCAGGGTCTACAGTTCGGGGGGCTGCGGATCTCATCGCTGCTTTTTGCAGATGATGTGGTCCTGGTCCTGGCATCTTCCGTCTGTGACCTCCAACTCTCACTGGAGCGTTTCGCAGTCGAGTGTGAAGCGGTCGGGATGAGGATAAGCACCTCTAAATCTGAGACCATGGTTCTCAGCAGGAAACCGATGGATTGCCTACTCCAGGTAGGGAATGTGTCCTTACCCCAAATGAAGGAGTTCAAGTACCCCGGGGTCTTGTTCACGAGTGAGGGGAAGATGGAGTGTGAGTTTGGCCAGAGAATTGGAGCAGCGGGGGCGGTATTGCACTCGCTTTACCGCACCGTTGCGACGAAAAGAGAGCTGAGCCGGAAGGCAAAGCTCTCGATCTACCGGTCAATCTTCGTTCCTACCCTCACCTATGGTCATGAAGGATCGGTCATGACCGAAAGAACTAGGTCACGGGTACAAGCGGCCGAAATGGGTTTCCTCAGGAGAGTGGCTGGCGTCTCCCTTAGGGATAGGGTGAGAAGTTCAGCCATTCGCGAGGAGCTCGGAGTAGAGCCGCTGCTCCTTTGCGTCGAAAGGAGCCAGTTGAGGTGGTTTGGGCATCTGGTGAGGATGCCCCCTGGGCGCATCCCTAGGGAGGTGTTCCAGGCACGGCCAGCTGGGAAGAGGCCCCGGGGAAGACCCAGGACTAGGTGGAGAGATTATATCTCTGCACTGGCCTGGGAACGCCTTGGGATCCCCCAGTCAGAGCTGGTAGATGTGGCCCGGGAAAGGGAAGTTTGGGGTCTCCTGCTGGAGCGACCCGACCCCGGATAAGCGGTTGAAAATGGATGGATGGATGGATTATTATTATTATTATTAGGGTCCTCGCAACGACTAGTCGTAGAGGAATCTATTTTATTTCAAGGAATTATTATTCTTATTCTTTTCTCTAAGGAATTTTCCCTTTTTGAGGCCTTTATCATATTCAAAAAGTTATTAAATTTGGCACGCTTATCAGAACTGGTGAAAAATTTGATATTTTGGGGGTTTCGCATTTGCCAGTTTCCGCCCCCGATGTCCGATTGACTTGAAATTTGGCACACATGTGCTCTTGGACATGCTCTCTACTAGGGATGGACCGATCCAGATTTTTTCACTTCCGATCCGATCCCGATACCTAAATTTGGATATCGGCCGATACAGATAATATTCCGATACCAGAGCTGTGTTTGAAAAACAGAAAATCCTGTTAACAGAAAAAATTCTGAAAACAAATTTGAAACTAAGGGTTTCAGATTGATTGTCATGTCAATATTTATTTAATTTCATGAATGTCAAATGTCAAAGACTTATTTTTAATAAGTCTTAAAATTTGTGACACAAAAAAATGCAAACACATACACACACTTGACACACAGTCTCACTCACTCGTTCACAAAAATAACAGCACAAATCAAGTAAATTGACTCTTGTATCATGAACAACATGTCAAATATCTGAAAAAAAGTGCAATAAAATAACTGTAAACATCTTACACACTTGACACACAGTCTCACTCACTCACTCATTCACACACGCAATCACACTTACTCTCTCTCACTCACACACACACACACACACACACACAATAAGTTTTAAAACATTGTGCATCAGAACAGCACTTAAGATGACCTGGAATAAACTAAACACCAGAGTCTAACTATTCTTTAAAAGAAAACAAAAATTGAATGTCTCAAAGTTGACTGTGAGGAAGTGATGTTGTGTTCAACAAATCTTACATCGGCAGGTTCTTCTTGAGGAATATGAGCATTTCTGCTCTCTCTGCAGTTAGACGATTCCTTTTTTCATCCACGGTATTGGCTGCCGTGCTAAACAGTCTAGCCACAGCGCTAGCCTGCTAGTCTGCTAGCTGGCTGCAAACTGTGGAATGGATTCCTGAACGGAGGCGCGGCTCAATGAGACAGTTATGAGACACGCTCAGGTAATCCATTCCACAGTTTGCAGCCAGCTAGCAGACTAGCAGGCGGGGATCACTTTTGGAGTCATTTCACCAGACGACGTTAAAGCGCAGACATGGCTCATTGATATCGGAAATCTCCAAAGGTTGTATCAGAAAATCCGATACCCGAATTTCTCTGGTATCGGGTCCCGATACTGGATCGGATCGGCCCCATCCCTACTCTCTACTCCTGCCCTATAAATATCGTGTTGATATCTTCTTGTTTTGAAAAGATATGGGCTTATGAACTTCGTAAGGGGTGTGGCTTAATCTTGCAAAAGTCATAACTTCCAAATGATTTGGCCTGCCCTCACCAAACATGTAACACATGTGAACATTGAATCCCTGAACACACCCTGATTTTTTGAGAATATTTGAAGAATAGGAGGCGCTGCTATTAATCGTTGCCTTTTTGGCCTGTTTTTGTGATTTCCTTGAGTTGTAAAAGACCGAACTCGCTCTAAGAATTGCATTTTGCCGGAAGAAATTCCAAACTATGTGTGTAGGGAGCATTTTTGAAAAACCACCATTCGGCATGAAAATTGAAATAGTTTTAACTCAACCATAATGTATCTAATCTGCTCCATATTTCTCATATAGCATGAACTTCTCACCCTGTAGACATCCATATGATCATTTTTAACCTTAGTCATAGCGTCACCTGGGAAAAAACGGAAGTTGAATTTTTTTTTATTTAACACCCTGCTCCTCACAGGAAATGTCCCTCAAAGGTTAATCTGATCCCTCTCAAAATTTCCTAGCAGAGAGGTAAGACCTTAATAATGCTTCAGTGTGAAAATGATAAGAATCCGATAATCGGTGGCGAGAAGGTGCATCGGCAAAGCTAATCCTTCGCCAAGAACAACTAAACCGTTGTAACTACTGGACATCATTGGATTCTTTCTAATTTACACATGTTTGATGAGACTCTGGGCCTGAAGAGATGTAAAGTTAAATCAAGTCATAGCGCCACCTACTGGTATCAGGAAGTCAACGAAAAAAAAGGTGTTTTAGAGAGGCTTTTATTTTGAAATAGTACATCATAATGTGCTGGTTATTGCTGAGTAACATCTTGGGGGGTGTATTCTATGCCTGAAGTGGAAATACTATGTAACTAATAATAGTTTCCTTTTAATTCTTACCTGAAAATGACAAAAAGTAGTCTTCTGATAGAGATTTTCAAATAAATTTTCAATAAATTTTCTCATGTATGTGTACTCTATGCCTGAAGTGGAAATACTGCCTGAAGTGGAAATACTGTGTAACTATTGATTTTTTCCTTTTAAATATAATCTGAAAATGATCAGATGTAGTCTTGCGATTGATATTTTGGCTCATGTATGACATTTTGAGAGGCTTTCATTTTGGAATAGTACATCAGAATGCCGTGCGGACGCTTTGTCCGACGGCCGCAGGGGTCCTTGGCTGCGTATCTAGTCGTCCGGCCGGTGCCCCGACGCACGGAGTTGCGAGGACCCGTCCAACGCCGCTCGCAGCTTTAATGAAACTTGTTTCTTCTATTTTTTCCTCACTTCGTACAAACTAGAAACACCTCAACATAATGAAAAAATTATCTTGTATGAACGATTCTTCATAGTCATAGTCTTTTTCTGACCAGTAGAAAAGGTAAAATGATGAAAGTTGTGTTTTGTGTGCAATCTAATTAAATTATATTTCATGCATGTAAGTGATGAAATGAGTTTGAGTATTGCCTTAATCACATTGCATGGCCCTATATTACATAATACAATGTGAAATACCTGCATTCAGGTCTACAAGTTTGCTTGAGTCAAGCATTTTGCTCAACATTCAACAACCCTTCTCCGAGATGGAAAATACTATCTTGATTCCACCATCTCCTGACAAGGTAACACTAATGCACCCAATTGACATTTTACTGAAATTCAACCTCGCCATTCTTGTATATCAGCACCCCTTAGCATATTTAAAATGCAAAATACTGTTATTATACTAATAATGTATTATATTTATTGAAGAAAAAAAGAACTAACTTATTAACAACCCCTGTTCAGCAGGTTGACCCATCTCAGAGTGACCTCGGCACGTTGGCAAATGTAGTGACGTCACTTGCCCACCTCACCAAAGCCAGGGAGGCAAGTGACATCGGCACCGACCTGATGGGAGATGAAACGCTTAGCAACGGTGACAGCTCGATGACAGACCTGCAAGGAGATGGGCAAAGTGCAAGTGATATTACTCGGTGAGGGAGATGTTCTAGAAAACCAAGGCTTTGACACTAACCAGTAGTTTATTATGAATACGTTATTACATAAGCTAAAAATTGACATTGTCAAAAGAAAGAAACACAGCGGCGCTTTTTATATTTTCAGATCGTCACAAACCTGTAATAGAATTTCCTGCAGGGCCATGTGCTTTCTGACTCCACACTTGAGGACCTAATTAGATTCAACCTAATCAAAGAATAGCTAATCAAAAAATAACCGTATGTCAATAGTGCCCTTCGGTGCTGCTCTGAGTTGTATTATATTTTCTGTGTCTGCACAAGCTCCTATTAAATTAGGTGAATTGCACAAAATGTGGATCTTTTAATGTTAACTTTTTGTGCTAATATTTGGTGTACAATTAGAGCTTTCGACAACCTGGCCAAAGTCCTGCACCCTGGTGGTGGCCCAGCGGGAGATTCCTTGGAGGCCATGATGCAGCTGATGTCGGGGGTCCAGTCGGGTCCAATAGTGGAGTTGGAGGGACCTATACTCTCTGGCAGCCATTTCCCCTTTAAGGTAAGAGCAGAGCTACTGTGGATTAAATCAAACAGACCAAAACCCAGCTCATGTTTAACTGAGTGCCACATTTTAAATATTTATCTTCTAAACCCTGCAGTCATGTGATCTTTATGTACTGTTTAATTTATTCATACAGCTTATGATGCCTTTGCCTGTGCCAGAGTACCTCAATGTCAACTACATTTGTGAGTCAGCTTCCCGGCTACTTTTTCTCTCTATGCACTGGGCACGCTCCATTCCTGCTTTTCAGATCCTGGGGTAAGCTTTTCTCATAAGACTTTTCATTTTTGCATTATTTCTAAATTTTTATTTAGAATTTTTGCAATGTTCTAAATAATGTCATTGAACTTTATCATATGTTGTTCATAATATGAATAGGTTTTCATAAAATGGCCACACAGTTTCCTGCAGCTAAATGTGATCATTATTATTATTTTTTTTTTTTCCCACAGTGGTCAAGACAATGACATTAACTTAATGAAAGCCTGCTGGAATGAATTGTTTGCCCTGGGTCTGGCACAGTGCTCCAACATCATGAATGTTGGTACCATCCTAAGTGCCATTATCAACCATCTGCAGACCAGCTTACAGGAAGGTTGGAGTGCTCCGCTGTTAAATAAAATTTCAGAAAAACCAATCAATGTTTTTAATTTGATGATGCCAGAAACCGTTAATGCCATGCAGACCGAGGGACACAATTCATCTTGAATTTGCAGAAAACTAAACTAATGCTCTACCCCGCACCTTTTTCTTCTTCTCCTACAGATAAGCTGTCCCCAGATCGAGTAAAACTAGTAATGGAGCACATCTGGAGAATGCAGGAGTTCTGTAACAACATGATCAAGCTGTCCCCAGACTCTTATGAATATGCATACCTGAAAGCCATTGTTCTCTTCAGTTCTGGTGCGTGAAATTAAACTTGCAGTTCTTGTCCTGTTGAGGCTGAATTATTAGAGGAAGATTCTGAGCTAAAGTGTAAATGGGACCAAATATTATGGACTCCTATCTGACTGTGTGCATGTGTTTTGTTTTTGAACAAGATCACCCAGGCATTGATAACACACCACAGATCGAGCGCTTTCAGGAGAAGGCCTACATTGAGCTGCACGACTACGTAACCTCGTCCTACCCAGAGGACTCCTATCGGTCAGTAGGCTTCAGCGCTGTGCTACACAACGCCTGCTCGTTGACAGAAAGGGAACTGTGTTCTCACATAGCATAGCTCTATATTTAGCAGGACATGTTTAAAATCATGTTACGGATGTACTTGCTGAAGTACACATGTCCTAATTTTCCGTGCCTTTCCCCCTCTTTCAGGTTATCCAAGTTGTTGCTGCGTCTTCCCGCCCTCCGTCTGATAAGTGCAGCTGTTACCGAGGAGCTGTTCTTCGCTGGGCTAATCGGCAATGTGCAGATCGACAGCATCATCCCGTACATTCTCAAAATGGAGTCCACTGACTATAACAGCCAGGTCGTGTCTGGAGTCTGACACGTCGTTCCATTTGTAATAGCAACTTTGGACTGTTGAAACTCGCCAGCCAGCCAATCAGAGTGCTCCCCAGAGCCAAAAGTAAGTGGTCACAACATACTGTAGTGGGGACTCGGCCTCCAATGAGGATTCTGTTTTCACTCGTACCTCGCTTTTTTTTTTGACTCCTCAGTAAGCAGTCAGTAGGGCACAACCCAAAAAGAGGACAAACATAAATCAACTTCATGGGAAAAGTGAGTCTGCCAGTATCTCCCCATTCAGGAATGAACCCTTGAAACCTGCATAGTAGAATGTGCTTTTTATTGTACATAGTATTTTATGCTTCATCTTCTTCCATCTTTAACTGTATGTAGATTTGTATATAGAGTGAACCAAGAATTCTGAAATGGGAAGCACTTGTTAATTTCATATTATGAACAAATTAATGTGAATGGAAAGTGTTGTCATTTGAAAATAAAAAACAAATACTTTTCAACCTTGTTTCTTTATTATTGACAGAATTGAGCTGTTGGCTTGACTGACTAAGTCTAGAATATAGAGTTCTGAATCCTGTTAATTGTTCTGTATCCACTGTTTATGTAATGTTTGCAAATGCACGTGTATCTTATCTATCTCTACTGGTTTTGTGTAAATATTTTAAAAAGAGCAACTGAGGACTACGCCCAAAATATGAACTCATCCTCAATCATGTTGGGATCATTGTGGAGCTCAACAGTCTGTATTATAATTCAAGTTTGGATCAAGAGAGATGTACACTATGTCGGGGGAGAATTTGTTGTGCATATTGTGAGTGTCTCAAGAACTCGTATGTGACCTTTCTTGGGAAACTCGTGACCTGACAAAGTCCCCGATGGCATCGTACCGTAGGCACCGTATCCTGTTCTTATCTCCTTCCGTCCATTTCTGTCTGTCAAATATGATTGACTCGTGTACCCATTAAGAGATGTTCCCAAACGACATCTGGTTGCCATTTCTCAAACCTTCAGAGATGGATAAAAGCTCTTGTTCTCCCCTAGAAACTTTGTCAGATCTTCCTGCTCCTTTTGGGGAAAGGAACATTCTGTCCCTTTTCCTGATGTTTCCTGATTCCTGATTTCTGATTTTCAGCTGAATTGTATGTTGTCATTTGACTTCTGTCTGTACTTACGGCTTGTGTTGATGATTTCTGTATTCTTCATCATTTTTCTATATTCTAGTTAGTAATAAATACTTAATCACAAAGCGAGCTCAAAATACTTTTGATTTCTCACAAGGGCTAAATCCACAAATTTCCACCACACACCTAGGGGTGTTAGGGTAATTGCTGCAACAATCATTTAATTTCAAAAACTGGCTTTGGTGCCTGACCAACACAGACATCAATTAGACCTTGTCCGCTCACTTCATTGACATTCACTTCACTCGACTAGATCACGACTGTCCTGCTCCTAAATGGTGGAACGAGCTGTCTGAAGACACCAGGACCACCGCCGCAAACTAAAGACACACCTCTTCAGACTCTACCTTGACTAAAAGATTAACAAATAGTAGCACTTCAATTGTACTTATAATGCCACTCATCTATAGCAAATTGTAAATTGGCTTATTTAAGGAAATTGCAATTTCTATAAGGACGCGCGGATGGCCTCTGATTCATGGAGGGAGATAGCCGCAAATGTCGGTTTGCCAGACGAGAGGTGCACAAAGTTGTGGAGGAAAATACGGGACAAATACTGTCACGCACCAACCGCCAAGACAAATTCCTTGTATGTTTGACATATTTTGGCAATAAATGTTTCCTGATTCCTAATGTGGCTGCAATGAAAAGCAACAGTGGCGATCCACGGGGCAATGAAGTCTATGATAAACTAGAAAATTCTGCAGTAATTTTAAGAGTGTGGCGTATACTGCCCGCAGGTGCCTGTGCATGAAACGGCCAAGCAGGCAAAAGAAGGCTAGCCACAAAGGCTAGCTAGCAAACTAAGCAAATTAAATTTTCTGCTGAATGTTGGAATGCAAAAAGCTGAAAGCTGAAATGAACTTCAGAAAATTGCTGAAATTACAGAAAGTTGAAGGGAATTTCAATACATTTGCTGAAATTACAGATATTAGAAAAGCTGAAATTAGTTTTAAATTGCTGAAAATACTGAAATGGGAGAAGCGGAAAGGAATTTTCATAGATTTGCTGAAAATACAGAAACGAAACAACTATAGAATAAAGAATAGGGGGGAAAGAGGGAGGGAGGAAGGGATAGAGAGGGGGAGAAAGAAAGCAGAGGAGGAAGAAAGAGGGGAGGAATAGAGAAGAGGAGAACGAAAAAGAGGAGGAGGAAGGTAGAGAGAGGGTGAGAAAGAAAGCGGAGGAGGAAGAAAGAGGGGAAGAATGGAAAGAGGAGAACAAATGATAAGGAAGGAAGAAAGAGGACAGGTATGAAAAGAGGACGATAAAGAGGGTAAGGAAGGGAGAGGGGGGAAAGAGGGAGGGAGCAAGGGAGAGAGATGGGGAGAAAGAAGGAGTAGGAGGAAGAAAGAGGGGAGGAATAGAAAAGAGGAGGAGAACGAAAGAGAGGAGGAGGAAGGGAGAAAGAAAGATAGGGGAAGGGAGGGGGACAAATGGAAAGAGAGGGTGAGGAAGGGTGGAATGGTGAGAAAAGGAGGTGGAAGAATTGAAGGAGAAGAGAAGAAAGAAAGATGAGGAAGAAAGGGGAGGAGGAAGGGGGAGAAAGAAAGAGGCTGAGGAAGGGAGGGGGAAGAGAGGGAGGAATGGAAAGAGAGGGGGAGGAAGGGAGAGGGGGGAAAGAGATGGAGGGAGGAAGGGAGAGAGAGGGGGGAGAAAGAAAGAGGGGAGGAATAGAAAAAGAGGAGGAGGAAGGGAGAAAGGAGGAGGAAGGGTGGAATAGTGAGGAAGGGAGAAGGGGAAGAATGGAAAGAGTGGAGGAGAAAGAAAGAGAAGGAGGAGGAAGGGAGAGAGAGGGGGAGAATGAGAGGGGGAAAGCATATCTGCGTTCTGTGACTCCACTAATCAACTATTATGGATCAGCTGTGTGACACAAACTGACCAACTGACAGACTGCAGCGTGTGTGCTGGTATCCACGGTAACGGAGCACCTGCTCAAAGGACAGAGACAGGACAGCGAGTTACACAGAATCCACACCTCAAACAAGTGTCCTCTAGCGCAAAACTACAACAGCTATCTAAAAAATAAGATGTTTGTAAGAGACCCAAGACTCTACCGAATGCAAATATGTCATTTTCATGTCTGTCTGGTAATAAATACGGCTCCTGTGGCCGTTTACAAAACGTGTACCTCTGGATTTTTTGAGAAATATGTCGCCAGATTTGTATTGGAGCCTATGGGGCTTTTAGCAGAGGTTGTGTGACTGTTGGTCTCCGTAGGCCAAAACTAAAGAACTCTGGGATTCCATAGCCACATTAATCCAATCACAAGCAGTTTTTTTTCCATAAAATAGTTGAGACTTGTGTCAACATTTGAAAGTTGAAATGGTGTCTGTAGCTGAAAGATTGGCGAAGCTGAAAAATCTCAAAGTTGAAGAAGTTTAAGAGGATTTGAAAAACGATCTCCATTGGAAAACCATGTTAAAATATTAATGATTATTGATTTATATAAATTTAAGCTTAAGAGCTAGAAAGCTGAAAAGTCATAGCACCCCTCCCATGAAAGAGCTGAATATTTAAATATTTGAACGGTTTTAATAGCGTGTGAAAGAGTTGAAAGGTGGCGCGGAAGAAATAGAATAAGTTGATTAAAGATTTGATGAACAATACTTGGAATGCTTAATGCATTCCAACAACTACTGGGGAGGAGTGTGTCGAGGAGGCCCATATGCAGGTGGAGGAGGAAGAGGCGGCCGCAGATGGGGAAGAGTTTGTTTCCATTGTGGTATGGAGGGGCACCAGGTTAAGGAGTGTCCTGGTAAAAGAAGACAGGGGAGGGGTAGAGGTGTGCCACCCCAGGAAGCATGGGCTCCCAACTCACATGCTGCACCACCACCTAGAGGACAGTACCCCACCCTGGAGGACTGGGGCTATGAGGCAGATGCCTCTCAGTGACACACCCCCGAGAGAGACCCGGACAGCAGGGGCAGGGCAGAACCCATGCTGTCCCTCACGGTACTACAACAACAACTGCCGTTTCTCCTTCCTGGGGCCACATACTCCACCATGCATGCATTGCAATGACAATGGACAAACGAATGGTCAGTGGGTGGTGCAGCCACTGCAACAACAACAATATGCAGACATTTACTGGGGCCTCTTGAAGCCTGAGGTTCATCAAGGGGCCTCATCAAATCAGGTGTATTGGAGCCCTCACAGTCCGCCTGGAACACACCCATTCTTCCTGTAGAAAAGACAGGGACTGGTAAATATCGCATGGCACATGACCTCAGAAAAATAATTACGGGATGTGTTCTCATTCACATATGGGAACAGACAGTTATGTTATACTTGGCTACCACAAGGGCTTGCGCTTTCGCCAGGTATCTGTAACCAAGTGTTGAAACAAGCGTTAACGGGGTGCCCCCTGCCAGAAGGCACGACATTAATCCAATATGTGGACGACATCCTTCTCGCATCCACTTCAGCGGAATCCTGTTTGGAAGCAACAGACACCGTTCTACCACCTTAGCGTCAGTAAGTCTAAGTTGCAGGTCGCCAGAAGACAGGTTTCATTTTTAGGCAGAGTGCTTTCGGGAAGCGGCTCAGGGCTCTCGGCCGCTCACAGGTCCAGTATTTCTCATAGAGAAATGCTTTCGTTTTTGGGCCTCACGGGGTTCAGTAGACAATTCATTCTGCACTATTCAAATCTCACTCAAGTTCTGCGAGCAAAGGTAAACGAGAAAGGAATGCGAAATCTCACTGCTAATCTCGAATGGGACCAAGGGGCGGAGGAGGCGTTTATCAAGCTAAAAACAGAACTGGCACAGGCCGCGGATCTTGCAGTACCGGATTACAGCGCGCCGTTTTATCTGGATGTTTCTGAAACAACAGGGGTTGTAAATGGGGTTTTGTTTCAGAAAAAGGGGGATGGTAAAAGGAAGGTGCTTCTGTATATCAGTGCCATGTTGGATAACATGGAAAAACATGAATGCCAATTAAACATGAACAAGAAATGAAAGATTTGGCAGCAGCCTTGGCTCTACCTAGCACCGTGGCTATTATTAAGTGCAAAGGACACGAGAACACCAACAGTATGGTGGCCAAGGGAAACCAGGCAGCAGACCAAGCTGCAAAACAGGCTGCAGGTTACCAAATTGGGCTCCAAATGGTAAGTGCAGAAGATGAGGGGCAGTTGGGGCCACAACTTAATGAGGAACAAATTAAGGAAGCCCAAAAGGGGGCCTCTCCTCAGGAGAAAACGGTGTGGAAGCCAAGAGGGGCTACAGAGGTTGGTGGCCTTTGGAGGTCCCCTGACGGTCGCCCAGTACTGCCGCCTGGAATCAGAAAGAAGTGTCTACAGGAGGCACATGGGATGG